CTTCTTCACCTCTTCTTCACCCCTTCTTCTCCTCTTCTTCATCTTTTCTTCACCTCTTCTTCACCTTTTCTTCTCAGGTGCTTTTGATCCCAACATACCAGAGGAGGGACCTTCAGCGCCTCCTGCTGGCTGGCTGGATGACGTACACGGATACCAGGGCCACAGAGGAGGAGGTGAGTCTTTAGTTCTATTTCTTTAAAGTTACAGTGAGGAACTTCTAACTGGTCCTGAACCAGTCTCAGTGTAGTCCTGATCCTCTATCAGACCTCCATCAGTAAAGAGACCATCAGAGAGAAGATGGTCTGTTTCTATAGAGTTATTCTTGATGCTCGTCATCGGAGCCACCGGGTCGGATTCTGGTGAAACCAGATGAACTCATGCAGGTTCACCAGAACCTCCTTCAGCTCAGACTCCAGCAGAGACCGGTCCACCGTGGACAGACCCAGATTCTCCAGCAGAGACCGGTCCACCGTGGACAGACCCAGATCCGGCTTCACCTGCAGCCTTGGACCTGCAGTCGGAGCTCCGGAGGGAGGAGGAGAGCTCAGCTCCCGGCAGCAGCAGCAGCGTCTCCTCCTCCTCCTCCTCCTCCTCCTCCTCCAGGAGCAGAGCTCCTCCTCTCTGCTGGAGACCCAGGACTTATTGCTGGACCCGCTGGAGGGAAGGGAGGCACGGGAGAACCAGAACCAGGACTGAGAGGGGCAGACTGTCAGACCCTGCTGCAGTAAAATGAGAGGTTTTCTAAAGAGGGTCTGGTGCTCAGAGACACTACCACTTTAGTCCACAGGGGGCGACAGAACCAACACAACATGAAAGCTCCTCAGAGTAACTTTATCCATGTTCTTGTGTCTGTTCACCTCCAGAGGGCGAAAACCCGTTGTGTCCACCCCCCCCTGCCTACACCCCCCAGCCTGAACTCAACAAGAACACTCTGGTGCCCGACGTCAGGTAACACACAAATAACACACCTCACTTATCTATAAGATACTCTGCCGAAGAGTCTTTATCTTTTAGACAAAGATATGAAGGCATGATGGGAGTGAGTGTGTGTGTGTGTGTGTGTGTGAGCGTATGTGTGTGTGTGTGTGCGTGTGTGTGTGTGTGTGTGTGTGTGTGTGTGTGTGCGTGTGTGTGTGTGTGTGTGTGTGTGTTGCTCCTCCAGGGTCCCCACAGTGTCGGAGGATGTGGCCCGGGACGCCCTGCTCAAGTTTGTGGAATCAAAATGGAAGTACAGCTCCAAACCTGCCAGGAACCTGGTCTTCAAAGAGCTGAAGCCCGTCTTAGTGTACAGGGTAGGAGCACATACGTCACCTCTAATATCTTCATGTCTAACCTGGACCGGTGTGAACTCATTCCAGAAGCTGCTAGTGTGCAGAGCTATTTCAATGCACGAATGCAAACCAGTGATGTCAGTGTTTTTATATTCTGAAATGAAGCGTTAAGTTCCTCTTTAAGCTCTTCATTTACTGGGAATCCACGAGACTGATGCGTGATTGTCGTCCTCCTGCAGTATCGACTGGAGACCTACACTGAGACCAGGACCAGCACCTGGCAGTTTGAACCCTACAATGGTAAAAACAACTGGAAGAACTCCGAGCTAACGGATTACTTTTGCTCTGCAAGAATAAAGATATACATTAGAAATAGAACATGTGTGTTAACTGTGACCTGTAATGTTGCACATCTGCTGAGTTGTATTGGCTCTAACACGTGTGATGAATAAATAGGGAGTAAGTGCAGCCGGAATGTAAACATCTGTGCAGGGGAGGGGGGGTGACAGTGTTCAGTTCTCAGGCTCTGAGGATGAAGCTGTTGTTCTGTGATTTGATGGACCTCAGGCGTCCAACACAGGACGGCTAGAAGGACAGGACAGACCTCTCCTGGTAGACCAGGAGAGGTCTTCAGCGATGTGCGTGTGCAGGAACCTGAAAGCAGGGGCCCTTTTCCACAGTCCCCCGTAGACGTAACGTGGGTCGGGTCCCTGCTGTCCTATCACCAGTTCTTTCATCGCTGTCGGCTGTGTCGTGTCCTTAGCTAACCGCTGATGTCAGCATGCTAACATGCTCGCAGTAGAGGAATGCATGGAGGACGGAAATGTGGATTTTTGCAGAAAGATAAGCTATTTTGTTGAGCAGGATTGTCTGAAGCGTAAACACAAAGGCCAGAAGTAAAAGGTTACAGGCGGACTAAATATTAAAATGTCTTCAGCTTATTAAACACAGACCTGATTTCAGACTTCTAACCAGAAACACACTGACTTTGACTCTAAAGGGTTCATCAGGTGTAACGTTTAGCATGTTCAGCGTCTTAGCTTAGCGCGCTAACATGCTAATATCTGCTAGTTAGCGCCAAACACAAAGCACATCTGAGGCTGACGGGAACGTCTCACTTCAAGAGACGTGAGACGGAAAGTCTTTGTTTAGAAGCACCGCTCTTCATGGATGATGTCTTCCTGTCTCCTAACAGGACAGGCGGTGGACGGTCCTCAGTACGGTATGAGTCCTCCTCCGTGGGACATTCCGATGGTGCTGCCGCAGAGATACAGCGACCGGGTGGAGAAGGTCCTCGTGCCGCACTCGTCCATCGTGAAGGTGCGGCGTTCTCTCGTTTCCTCAACTGCTGCTGTTGCACTTTGTACGTGTCCTTTGTATTCACAGTAATGTACGCTTGTGTGTGTTTAGCTGTGTCACAAGTGCAACGGCTGTGGAAGAACTCGCTGTGGACACTGCCACGGGAGAGGCCGGGTGAGATGTACAGACGTCTCTGTAGAGATGCTCACAGCAGCAGGTTTCACGTTTCTTTGTTCAACATGAAGAGAAACGGTCAGTGAAGCTGTTCAGTGCACCTTCACCCAGACATCATGTGATCGTAATATATCTTCGTCCTTCAGTTTAATAAACGGACATTTCTACGACACGCAAACTGCCACATTAGAGCTGCATCCATCGATTCATTCCTGTTAATAATTGATGAATTGTTTTGTTTGAGTTATGTCCGTCACAGTTACATAATAGTTTGTTGTATTACTGAAGAATATTCACTTTACAGTCACGTGAACGTAACAAGAGCTGCACAGACGTACAACAGAATAAACAAACGAGGAGTCGATTATGAAAATACTTACTCGACTCATCGTTTCAGCTCCCAACTTTGTTCTCAATGTTTTCAGAAATGAAATGAAAGAATATGAACTGAAACAGGGTGAGGCGGGTGTGACATGGAGTAAACCTGTGCAGTGTGAGAACAGATGAAATAATAGTCCAACAGAGGAGACATTGATCCTCATTGTATCTTCACTCACTGCAGCTTTAGGCCAATAACAGACCTGCTAACAATGCACACACTCCTTTAAACGCTGGTCTCACTCCACAGAAGCGCTGCACCTTCTGCCACGGACACGGCCGCTCCAGGAACAAGCGCTGCACCTCCTGTCACGGCCGAGGACGTAAGAGGTGAGCGTCCAGTCCGCCGGCTTCTTCTTCTCTTTCCTCTGAACGCTCCTCTCTGTCCGGCAGACGCGCTGCTGGAGCTGGAAAGAGTTTGGGCCGTGAGATGAGATTAAATAGAGTCGAGTAGAGTGCTTTATTTAGTCGCTCCATAGACGGTACACACTGTGCCGTCACGTTGTCTCTGTATTTATGTTTTGCTCAGGTTCTTTCGTGTTTCACTTTGACGTTGACGTGAGGGAGTAATGTCTGTCCCGTCCTCCAGGTGTACCTTCTGTCAGGGCCACGGCTACAAGACCTGCTGTGTTTGTCACGGCAGCCAAAACCTGCTGCACTTCATCCAGCTCACCGTGACGTGGTACGCCGAAGCGTCACGTATTCATCACAATGTCTTCTTCTGCAGGTCTGCTTCTGTGTGCTGACTCGTGTGTTTGTGTGTGTCTGTGTGTGTGTGTCTGTGTTTATGTTTGTGTGTGTGTGTGTTTGTGTGTTTATGTTTGTGTGTCTGTGTGTTTGTGTGTCTGTGTGTTTGTGTGTTTATGTTTGTGTGTCTGTGTGTTTGTGTGT